CAAGCTCCAACATTTTATTTTGTTCCTGCCAAATGATACTTGAAGTGATAAATTTCTCTAATGTATTCATTCTCACAATGTTTATATTTAATTTTCCTAGCATTTTCAGTAACATAAATACCATGATTCCATGTCACATCATTTCTTGTTTCAGTAGCATTGTTGTTTATTTTTTATCTCAAAGTACTACCTACAATTCTACTTCCTACAACTCCACTTAACTAAATCTTCTTCCCTTTTCTACTGCTACCAACTTCATTTTTAGTATTAGAAGTCATGCAAGGATGCGAGAACACAAAATAAACACGAAGTACCTAGTGCCCACAATGTAGCAACAAAATAGAACAACCATGTAGCCATCCAGAGAACCGCAAACCACCAATGCAGCCACGCAGAAGCACCCAAGACATAGCCACTTATGCAGAAGTACACACACTAAGAAGGAAAAGGAAGTAGTCATCGCGCATAAGATAAAGTTTGAATAGTGAAAGTAAGTCAAAATATGAGAAATTGATTTTTTTTGTTATAATTTGGTTGTTGTATGTGACTTGAACACCTAGATTGAATATGATCATTGATCTTAATATTATGATCCCAAACAATCTTAAAAGAGTTCAATCCTATTTGCGATCTAGATCATGGAAGTTGAGCAAAATTATAGGATTGTGCGATCGCACAATCAATCCTGATTTTGACAACATTGATCCACCACATATATTATACAAATTCAATTATTTTTCATTAAAATTATTTCATTTCTACTTAACAAAATAGACCAAAAAGAGTAGAACTTCCATACTTGAATACCCGGTCACACATTATAGCAAAAATCAAGTTTTCCAATATTCCTCCAGCAAAAGGAATCAGATGCTGAGTTATATTTTATTGATACCATTGAATTCAACCAAAAAAATAAAAAAATAAAAAAAATCACCATATCTTGAAGAGAAGCAATTAATCCTTAGTAAATATTCTCCACTGCCATTTTAATAGAGGGAAACGTTTAAACAATTGCGCACATCCTTATGCCTAAGCCATCGTTCTTCTTTGACAGAGAAAGCACTCCAATTGGGCCATGCTGCCTACTTCTTCTCATCTTGCCCACCCTACAAGAAACAATCCTATTTGAGCAATAGTTGAACTCTCCAAGTATGGGTGCCTCTGTCAGCAAGGATTAATTTGAACCAATGGTTCACTACTAATTAGGAAACTAGCTCCTTCTCCTTCACCTAACACCAATTGGTGCTAAACATTTTCTGAATGACGTAAAGGATATATTTAAATTGATATAATGTAATAAAAATGAAGTTATTCAACTGTTAGTTCAAGTAGTTCTACTGTTTGGATTGTTTAAGCGTATGATTGGTGCACAATTAATGGATTAAATTTCATTTTTCATTATATCTAAAATTTTTCATTATGTTTTCATATCTTTTTAAAGCAAAACTCCTCCATATGTTACGCATCTCACGATCATCATATTCTGTCGTTATCCTTTCTCTCGATCCTTCTGGTTGTCGCGCACATTTCCTTGCTACACTAGAAACACCACAAGCTTCTCGTCATGATAATGGGTGTCTACTGTAAGAGCATTTGTTTATTCAAACACAGCACATTGCTGACAAGACTTCGTTGCAAATTTTGGATGTTAAGAGTTAGAAGATGCACTCGTATAAGAAAGCATGACGCACAATTCAGGCGTACGTAAAAATCCACCCACATTTAATAAAATAATTATGTCATACGAGATATTTTATCGATCTTCTGTTTTCTTTGGAAAAATTTAATATAACTGGTTTCGAGTGATGAATACTCGGATAACCTTGGCCAACACAACGTGTTTTAGTTTCAAAACCCACCCGTTTTATTACTAATTCTTTAGTCATACTCCTAAGGCTTAATAATAATAACAATAATAATACATATTATAGTTAGACAAATTAATACATATATTGTTATTTATCGGATTTCATGACTTATCCCATTTTACTAACATGTCATGGCCGAAAAATTAATTTGATAGGTTTAAATTTAAAAATTAAATTAAATATATTTTAAAGATAAATTTAAGTTTTACTTTGATTAATTTAATAATATATAGGATAAGATTAATTCAACCTAAATTAACATTTGTATAAATATTACTAAAAAAAATTTGAGTAGGTAAGGATTAAGATCAACCTGTTACAATTCATATAAATGTTGTTTCAACCCCTATCGTTATTAATAATGCTGCATAATTTAATTATTTAAAAATTATTTAGTAATATAGCTTACTAATTATAAATTTTAAAGATATTTTTAAAAGAAAATACAATTTTTATTTTTTATTATTTTAATTTAGAGTAGCAACCCGTGAACTAATCTAGTGAATTAATAGATTGAGTCAAGTTGCAATTTATAAACACCCCATAAAAGGTGGGTCCAGTTAAAATGAGTTACTGTTAAACTCAACCCATAATAAATTAACCCAGATCAAGCAGATTAATTCATCCATATCCCATTTTGACGGCTCTAGGTGTAAGCAACGCTGTCGGTGATAAGTGAGTGGAGCAATAAAGTTGTTTCAAGTCTTCGGAAAAGTGGGTTGTAACCCTACTCTCGGGAACTTGTCCTGGCCTAGAAGCTACTCTTTAACCAATCAATTGATAAGATAGAAAATGGAGAGAAAATCTTCCACTTTCCTCAATTTTCAAAAACTAAAATCTTAATCAATACTTCTAGAGTATTGTTAATGGATTAAAAATATTATATATATATATATATATATATCATTTAATATCGTTAATGTACTAACTTTGTTAATTTTAATTTATTAAATATTTAACTAATACGTTTAACTTTACTCCTTAACATGAGTTTTGGAAAATAACCTCCACTTATATTGAATTTTAGTCAGTTTTATGTTTGATTCATGTCATTTTAAAAAATATATATACTTCCACTTGGGGGAGAATAATTTAAATATGGTAACAGGTTAATAGAATACATAAAATACGATTTTTTTTTTTTGCAAAAATACGTAAATATGGTGTTCCAAAAAACGCCATTGACAATTTTTTCATGAAACAAAAAAAACCTGCAAATTACAGACTTAAATGACATGAGTCTGAACTCTCAGGCGCCTGAAAACTCGCCACTGGTGACCTTTGAACGCCATTAATGGAGTCTGAAGTCTTTGAAAAATCGCCAATGGCGATTTTTGACTCCGTAAAGCTTGTTCCACTTGCAATTGTAGATGTTCACGCTTGCCTGCATCTCTCAGATCTGAAAAATCGCTACTGACGACTTTTGCATCAAGAATCTCTGAAAAATCACTATTTCATCCGTCTCTGTAGATGTTCACGCTTGTCAGGCATCTCTCAGATCTGAAAAATCACCAATGATGATTTTTGCTTCAGGAATCTCTGCAAAAATGACTGTTGTCCACAAGCATGTGTAATGGTGGAGTCAAAAATTGCCAGTAGCGAGTTTTTGTGCTATAAATGGCACTCCAATTGAGCAAAAATCATGCACGAAGAAGAAAGGCAAAGTGAAACTGTGTGAGGGTTCTGAGAGGGTACTGAAGAAGGATTTCGGAGAAGAAAAATGAAGGGTGATTTGTGAGGGTGAAGAAAGGTTGAAGAAAGGTGAAGAAAGATTAAAAAAATATATATTGAGTGTAATTTTTTTAATTTATTTTTAAAGATGGTTAGGGATTTTACTTTGGATTCGAGGATGCATATTTCAGAGAAAATCCACAATTTAAATGTAAGTTTAATATTTTGATTAATTTTTAAATTTAATTTTGAATTTAGATTTGATATCAATTTTGGTAAATATATTTATAATTTTGAGTAATTAAGAATAAAATCTGCATTTATTAAGTTAAAATTGTAAAATAATTATAATTAGTTATTTTATATGTCTTAACATAAGTATTAAATTATATTATTTTTAGAAAAATGACGTAACAATTATTTGTTAGTATACATAGTTACTTAATATAAACTTTGAAATATATATTTACAGTAATATAATAAATTGTTATTATTTTAATAAATTTAGAAACAAATTATATTGAGTAATAATTCAAATTATTTAATATAAAAAATTAACAAAACATAGAGTCTAAAAATGGATATTTAATAAAAGCATATTTATTTTACACGTACCACAAATAAATTAAATTAATTTCTATAATTAGTATTTTTGACATTTATTAACATATTTTAAAAATATTATAAATTAGTTAAAAAATGTAATTTATTTGATTTTGTATAATTAGTTAATAAATATAATAATTTATGACATATTTATTATACTGCAAAAATTTATGTTATATTTGTAATTATTTTTGGTCAATTTAAAACAAGTTTTTCATATATTATTAATTGAATATGTTTAATATAAATAAGAAATAAGAAAAAGTACGACAAGTTAGATAAAATTCTATTTCTAACATTTTATTTGTATAAATTTTATGATAGTGAAATTGTTTATGTTATATTTGTAGTTGTGTTATTATTATTATTATTATTATTATTATTATTATTATTATTATTATTATTATTATATTTTATTTTTTTGTAAGACTAGAATTTTATTATTATTTAGTTATAATTGGTTAGTAAATTTAATAAATTAAATTTTTTTTATATTTTTTGTTTATAAATTTGACATAATAATTTTGTGTGGACTAATATAAATTTTTTATGACAGGAGATGAGACAATTACGTTCTCGCCACTTATCCATATTGCATCTAGAGAAGAAATAAATGACATATTACGCAATGCTGGGTTTGATTAAGTTTCTAAAATTTGTCATATGCAAATAAACGGTCTTTTGATTAATGCACTTGTCGAACGTTGGAGGCCCGAAACACACACATTTCATTTACTTTGCGAAGAATAAGAATGCACAATTACATTAGAAGATGTTTGTATGCTACTTGGACTCCGGATTGATGGTCTACTAGTGATTGGGTCCACTAATCCCTCTTCTGCAGTGGTTTAAAACATGTGTGATGTGTTATTAGGGGGTCGACCATCAATGAATGATATTGAAGGATCAGAAATTAAATTAAAGTGGCTTACAGAACATCTTGGTTGGCTTCCTGTTAATTCTGACATTAGAAGAGCACAACATGCACGTGGATATATACTTAGTCTGTTGGGACATGTCTTAATGCCAAATAAAAACAATTCAGTGGTACATACAAAATTTCTACAGTTACTAGCACAGGTAAATGAAATTGGGAATTATAGTGGGGGTTCTGCATGCCTTTCATTTCTTTATAGAGGTTTGGATCGTGGTTCACGACATGATGCTAGAGAAATTTGTGGGTGTATAATATTGCTGCAAGTATGGGCATGGCATCGACTACCGTGGTTGGCTCCAATCCCTGGTGAACTAATAGTATTTCCACTTGTTCTCAGATGGAGAAAAATACGATATCCAGCAAACTCACCATTTAAGAATATTGGCAGTATTAGATTGGCTTTGGATCGAATGGGTGTTCATGAGGTAAATTATTATAATATTCTTGTAATTGTTAACACCATTAATTTCTATATGTAACTTATAATAAATAAATATTTGCTTATTTCATGCAGTTTCTATGGCGACCATATGAGGATGATGATATTGATGCATTAATTCCAGATAATGTGAGAAGAGAACGTTTTGTATAGTCAACTATGAGCCCCTTGATTTGTTTCGAAGTTATAGAGTGACATGCAGCTGACCGTGTCATGTGATAGTTTGAATATGCACAGCCTATTCCTCGACCACCTGAAAGTCTGGAAGGGGTTCATAACAAAGACTTGTGGGGATTAAGAGAACCAAAGAATTGGAGGGTCATTCATAATGATTGGGTGATAATGTGGGAGCATCGGTATCAATGCATATTACAAGGATTAGAGATTACTATTATCCTTCAGCTGAATATTGGGCATGGTACACACTTTATGCGGCAAATTGGCTATGGTTATGCCAACCGATGGAGCAACTATCACCCCAACAGGAGCAGTTCCCCAACGAGCCACTACTTTCCCATCCTGAGGAGTTTCCCATAGATAAATCACCCATGCAACATCAGGGTATCCCACCATCCTCAGTTCAACCAAATCAGGAATATTATTGGTCCCCACAAACAAACCAGTGGCAACCATTTCAATAGGATGAAGAACCCATACCTCAAGAACAACAACAAATGTCGGTTGATAGAAGGAATATTCGTGATGGATCAATAAGCAGGGAATCACGAGGTACGAGGTCTATTGATTGTAACAGTGCTACTGTGATGTCTGGTCAATTTATGTGCACATATGACTTTGGACTTGATGAAGGTCAAAGTTCCCAACTCAATCGGCAATTTAACTTTGACTTAAATAAGGATGCAACTGTAGAAGAAGAACAAGTACATGAGGAGGATGTGTATCGACCACTACCAGTGACACCAGAGTATAGGCCTGTACCACAGGGAATATTCTCACCCAAAGATCAATGGTCTATGCCAATGATGTCATGGGATGTCACACAACAAGATAGCACATTCACCCTAACATCTGGTCATATGGAGGAACAAGTGCATGAGCAGGAGGAGGAGCATGAACACGAGGAGGAGCAGGGTGTAGGTGATGATGCAAATAGAGGAGGAAGACACAGGGGATTTTTTACACGTCTGTTACGTCCTTTTACTCAACCCCCTGATAGATATAGTCCGTCATTAATCAAAAAGAAAAAAGGCAAAGGAGGATAGTCAGGTTGTTAGTACTATTGTTGTTTGCTTATTTCTTTGTATAATGTAATCGCATGTTATCTGTTCTTTGAATTTGTTTGAGTACTTAACTTTGTTATGTATTGTTAGTTTGACTAATTAAAACAACCATGTTTATAACATCACAAGCAAATCACATTGATAACTGCTACAAATATTTAGAACAACTCCAAACAAATAAAATTAACACTACACGACATCATCACAACTACAAATCACGTACTTGGTCTTGCAGCATGAGGACATTCTTGTCGACTATGGTTCCCAGCTCGACAAAGACTACACCGTTTTGGTCTTCTCATTTCATGCATATCCATTTGATTCAGAAAACGAGTTGATTTAGGACGACCTTTACCTGTGCGCTTCAAGCTAGGATTAGGACAAAGTTTTGGTCCTCTATAACGGCGCCATGTGTTTTCATTCCCAATTACCGCAAACTCCTTCTTATAAACTTTGCATACTTTATTAATCGTATAAACATCATCAACATAAGCACGCCAATCAATGTTTTTAATACAACATGCAGCAATCACATGACGACATGGATATCTATCAGTATGCATATCACCACAGTCACAATACCTTTGCCTCAGATCAACTCTATATTCTTGCCTGTTAGATAAATCCTGAACATGGAAACTCTCACTTCGTCTATCAAATTGACTAATACGCAAGTTTCTGGCGCCTACCTCATTTGATTGAAGTCGGGTTGTCACAAATTCAGAGAAAATATGTCCGGCCTTTTTTCGTGCATATGCTTCACTCCCTTTCCGAGCAAATAACTCAGCCAATCGAAAGTAAGTTGCTCTTAATGGGGCAGTGATTGGAAGATTTCGGGCACCTTTTAACACTAAATTAATGCACTCAACCAAATCTGTCGTCATGTGACCCCACCTATGTCCTCCATCAAATGCTAGAACCCATTTCTCTCGAGGAATTTCATTAAGCCAGTTTGAGTAAACCTCTCCACGTTCCCGTAGACGCTCATAATGAATATTATATTCATGTTCAGTTCTTGAATAACCTGAAAAAAATACAAGGATTCATATTAGTACATTAAATAGTATATATTTATTTGTTTAACATTTTTATTAAAAGTACAATAAGGTTATGAAACACACCCATGCGAACAACAAGTTTATGCAAGTATGGAGCCTTAAATCTTCATAAAAAATTTGCCGCAATATGCCTAATACAATACATGTGAAAAGCTCTTGGTGGTTCCCACTCTCCATTACTTCTTCTTATTGCTGCATTAATTAACTCGTGTCGATCAGAAATTATGCCAACACTATTTTGGGTGACAATGTGTCTGCGTAAATTATGAAGGAAAAAAAATCAAGCATCTGTTGTCTCACCCTCAACAATAGCAAAAGCAATTGGCAAAATATTTTGATTACCATCTTGTGCAACAGCCACTAATAGAACTCCCTTGTATTTTCCATATAAATGTGTCCCATCAACTTGGACAAGTGGTTTGCAGTATCTAAATGCTCTGATACAAGGACCAAAAGTCCAAAACACTCGGCGAAATATTTTAACATTGGAAACTAACTCATCAACACGATAGGCATCTACAGCATCCAACTGAACAACGGAACCTCGAACACAGTCACACATTGCTGCACACCATTGCGGCAAAGCTTCAAACGAGGCTTCCCATTGACCATAAACTTTTTCAATTGCCTTTTGTTTTCCCATCCATGCTTTCCTATATGTTATCGTGTAACCCATATCGAGACTAAATTTCACCAATAACGAGTTTTATCTTAAAGGAAGGGTCAGACTCAACCATTGGCTTTATACATTCTGCAATTGTGTCGGAATCCAATTTGGTGTGGTCCTGAGAAATTCTTCCTCTTGTACATGTGTGCGGACCGTTGTACTTTCTAATCTCCCAAATAAACTCGTTCTTTCTAAAAGTAGCACGAAGAAGCCATCCACAATCAATTTCATACCTCACACATTTACAATAAAATGTACTTGGTTCTGACTCAACCACTTTGTAGTCCACTCCATTTGCTATACTATAACACTTAATTGCTCATATAACAGTTTTTCTATCAGCAAATTGCTTTCCAACATACAAGTCTCCGTTTAAATCAAAATGACCTATCAAATGTAAACACAAGTATACTAAATTAAAAAACTATATTTTTATTCCTCAACAACATTGTTAAAAATAACACATACCTAAATTTGCATAATCTGAAAACTCAGAGGCATGCATAGAATCGAGATTTAATGAACGCATGAAAGGTGGCTCCCCAAATTGATGTTGTCCAATTCACTGTGTTTGACAATTGGACCTCGTCATCACCATCGTCATCTATATCTTCATCTTCACTTAGTTCATCACTTCCATATTCTCCTTCAGAGTCACCACTTTCATTGTTGACATTTATCCATTCTACCTCTCTGTTTGGGACAATGCTTGCATATGCATCCTCATCTTCTTCGTCAATGTTAATTGCAATTTCTTTGAAAACAACATATAACTCAATAGCAGGAGTTGGTGGATGACATTGGTGATGTATTTGAAACATCTGTGCAACATCAGCATCGTTTGTTATTGGAACTGTATAATATTGCGTGAAACCACCAAATATAGATATTGGACACCTATAAACTATACTTTCCACTGTTTTTGGAAACTCAAATTCAATATTTTGAGTAAGCCAATAACACAGTTCGCTAAATGACATATTTTCTCTCATGTACACACATGTTGGCTTTTCACACCTAAATAACACACCTTCACGAGTGTTTGTAAAAATCTCGCCATTAAAATATATCAAAAGGAGTACACTCATTTTTTTCTCTATAATGATCTCTCCCTCTCTCTATATCTAAAAATTCAGATCTACTCACTTGCAACGTCAATGAAGAAAAAACTCGGTATTTATAGGCAAATATTTTAAAAATCGTCAATAGCGACTTTTAAAATTTTTAAATTAATTAATATTATTTAAAAGTCGCCAATGGTAGTTTTTTGTTTTTTACTCTCAAAAGTCGCCAATGGCAATTTTTTTATTTTTTTCCTACTTCCAAAAATCGCCACGGACGATTTTACATGTATATTTTTTAATTATAACATCAAAAGTCGTCAATGGCAATTTTTGCCATAAATAAATTATTACTATTTTTAAATCTCGCCATTGGTAAATTTTCATTATGATTTGATATATAAGATAAAAAAAATCGTCACTGACAACTTTTACGAAAATTCTATATTCACGTAATATAGTAAAAATTCTCCTATTTTTTGTATTTTAAAAATAAAAAACCATATAAAAATAAAGTAGCCTCCACTTGGCATAAACATTTTAATTAATGAACGTAACAAGGAACCTTTGGGAGGTTCACGAAAGTATTGAAATTTGTCAGAAAAGAGGACAAAACCACTTGAGTGGGTTTGCTACCTATATAAAGTTCTAGTTTTCATCACAAATTTGAGCGATTAATTCATTCCAGTTTTTAGAAACAGTTAACACTTGTACGATCGAATAAAGCTCAATTTGAGCATTGAAATCAAATTACACCAAAATACCTAGAGGTCGATCTTTTATTGCTTTGAAATATGTGCAAATTAGTGTACAAAACACAATCATAAGTTGCCCTGGAGTCATTAAAGAGGGCTTATATTGTGTCTCACACATTTGAAGTTATCTTGGATCAAGATTTAATATGACTTTTAACATTTTGAACTGCACACCGTAACCGATAGATTTAAATTTTAAACAGTCTGCTCCTTTAAAACAAAAGTTTAAATATTTTTTAGTCTCAATACGAAACTTGTGTTTTTTACTTGATTTTTTTAAAAAAACTATAAAGAAGTCTTAAATAAAATAATCTTTGATATCAACTTTTACTGTAATATTGTTACTTCATATATTTAAATGTTGATTCTTATATATAACATTTTTTTATGTTGTGATCCTTGTATATGACACTTATTTTTATTTTAGTTTTTATATGAGAAAATTCAAATAATAAGGATTAAAATACAAATATTTTATATAGGGACTGAAAAAATTATTTTTAGAGGCTAAAATAAAATATTTCATCAAAATAAGTTTAAAATTATTATGATCATTCATGATATATTAAAAAATTATTTTATAACTTTAAATAATTTTATTGTAATTTAATACTGTTATAAAGATTATTATGAGATGATGATGTTGGATATTTGAATAAAAGTGTTCATCTTTTATTTGTGATAAAAGATTATAAGAAGAAAATGTGAATTGATTTTCAAGTAGGTCGTGATTTTTTTTAATTAAGAGATTAGTGGAATATATATATATATATATATATATATATATATATATATATTAGTTTTGCTTCTCCAACATAAAGGTTGAAATTCATGGTTAAATTTGTTCAAATTTTTAAGTTCAATTATGGAGAATTATTTATTTTATGAATACGACTTAAATACAATCCTTTTGACTATGTTTGGCAAGTTTAATATAGAAAAAATGGGGGAAAAAAGAAATGACTTATAACATATCTTTTTTTATTTGAGAGATTTTAAAAATAAGGATAAGAGATTTAAAGATCTTTCAATGTTTTTAAAAATTTTCTTCCTTTGTATTTCTAATTTTTTTATTTTTAGTTTTATACTTCATTTTAGTTTTAGCTATACATAATATTAAAATTAATATAATTTGTTTATAAGTCAAGTTGACTTTATTTTACTTTAATATTATTAACTCTTAATCAGGTCGAATTTAAGTTAAAAAAAATGACCCTATAAATATTTTGAGTTAACAAAATAAATTCATCCTAATTAGTTCCACTTATATATTGAGACTAAAATATAAAATTTTAAATATAATGTAACATCTACATGAACGATAGATACTATTTTAAAATATTTTATTATTTAAAAATATGTATGAATGAAAATAATATTTAAACTTCAAATAAATTAGGCTTACAGTTATACATGATAAAACGTGAAATTAAAATTATCTATTGATAAGAAATTAGTAGTTTAGATTTTGTAAAATATATAAATAGTATAATAATTATAAAATTATTCAAATTACTTTGCTAAATAATGTCTTCCAAGGCAAATTATTTCAAACAAACACCTATCGTAGATTAACATGGCAATTGTTCTGATATTGTTCCCTTTTAGGTACCTTAGAAATCATTTACGATTTTATGAGCACATGAATAGGAACCCGTCCTCCTGCATGTTTGGATAAGTGGTAAGAGCCATCTTGAGCGCATCATTTTAGGAGATTATTTATGATTTTTTAATTTATATCTTATTATACATGATAATAATTTATATATAATAAATTTTTTATAAAAGATATAATATTTAATATTATTAATATATTAAATTATATAAAATTTTATAAATTTTAATAAAAACTTATTATATATATATATATAGTTATTTTTCCTCTGTGTGTGGTGTTATACAAATTTAAAAAATCATAAAATTTATGCTCGTTTAGTCAATGTTAAAGTGAATTTAAACACACGCTTCATCATTCTTTCTTAATTTAAACACACATGCACCTTGCAAATTTACTAATCGGCGTAAGTTACCTTTTCTTTTTTCAAATTGTATTAAACTTCTTAAAATATGCATTTTTTTTCTTTTGCTACCAACACTGTCATTCCAGTGAATACTTTCTTCCTGTCATTATTTACACACTTAACAATTTATAACGTACATACTCATGCTCTCCATTTTTAATTAAGTATGGGTCAAGTAATTCATTAATTTTACCATATAAATTTAAACAAATACAATAATAAAATATGTATTGTAAATTTATTATTAGAAAGTCCATAAAATAAAACAAAATACAGAAAAAATTTGCTCTAGTAAACTAACAAAAGCTTGTTATAATTAGTAAATAGTTGTGTATGAAAAAAAAAGCGCTTTGACAATTACCAAAAAGACTACCTTTAATAATCACCAGTTTAAAAAATAATTTAAAATTTTTTGTTTTAACTTTTATAATGACTAGAAGTAAACACATTAAAATAATATTGTGCTAAAAAATATAAAATCATTATCAACAAAGAGTAAATAACAACTTGCCAAACTTAAAAATTGCAAATAATTAAAACATTTTAAATTTATTTATATATATGCTTAGGTGACTAGACATTTATGGTATTAAATTAACTAAATTTCTAACAGTGATATTGCTGTAAGTAATTTGTCCATGGGTTTCCCTTGAAGATGATAAATATGTTTATTATTGTAACTTCTCTTAAATTATGGGAAAGTAGCATTAATTTTGCAATATTAGTAATAAAAAATGATAAATTTTTGGCTTTAAGATTTCGAAGTATTCACCGTGTGAGTAATATCATAATTTGTTAGTAATTGGTGCATTGATGAACCATTGTCATAAGGGTGCAAATTAGAAAAGACTGTCTGTGCCAGAAATAGATAAAAGACCTAAGGTTTTCTTTCCTTAAATTAACTCCAAACACACCACAATCCAACAAAAAGACTTATTTCGCAAACTTACTTTTTAACTGGGCCAAGTTTTTTAAGCTATTAGGGTCAATTCAATTGTTTTTGGGCATGGGTCAATGCAATTGAGTTGCTTACTTTGTGTGCTGAGCTTGTGCAGGTCTAAGTTGGACCACTCCCTTTTTCACACCTCAAACATGGACACTTGCAGAATTTTAAACACTGTTGACAAAAAAGTTTAGAATACCAACAAAATATCCTGTACCGAGAAAATAAT